CTGTGGGTCCGCAGTGAAAAAAACTAAGGGAAGTTAGATGTTTGGATTCAAGGGAGGAGAAGATGGAGGAGGAGAAGATGTGAGATTTTGTCAAAAAAATTAGTTTGTTTTAATGTTTTATTCATTTTTAATTTGATTTCTTTTTCTTTTTATTTATAAAGGTTTTTTATTTCATTTTGTTTGTAAGTAATTATAAGGGTAGATTTGTCCTACTAAGATGATTTTTTGACCAAAAGGGGTTATGTGAAACTAAATTAAAACTTAAGGGAGTATTAGTGTAGTATTTCAAACGTAAGAAAGTTTTATGAAAACACAATAAATCTGCGGAGTGTTACTATAATTAACCTACTGAAAACACCTATACGTGCATGCATGTACTTGGGTGAGGTGGGAGTTTCTTTGGCTCTAGTGCCACTGCAACTAGGCCCCCATCCTCATGCATGCATGTGTTAGTGTACAAGCTTAATTTTTATCAAAATTTCTAACGAACAAAAGAAATGCAAAAAATGCAATATTAGGATAATCGACCATAAGAAAAAATGCGATATGGTCAGTGGCTTATTGCGAAAAGAAATGGTACAAATTAATATTAAATTTTAATCCAAGACGGCAGGACCAGTTCAATTAAGTTGTAATTACAACCAAGTCTTTAGCTGCTTCTAAAATGATCCAAGTCTTTACCTACTTCTAAAAATTAATCCAAGCCTTTACGTGCTTCAATTGTCTACAGGGAAAATCCAAGACCAGTTCATCATCAGTCTCTCTTGCTAATCTATAAATAGATAAGTGTACCCATACATAATTTTCATCCTTCTCAAAGCAACTGATCATCTAGTTAAGTACAAGTTCCAAGTCCTTGCTAATCTATACGATAATCCCCTATAGACTATACATAGCTAGCGATGAAAGGAGTTCATTTCCCTGTAACTGCTGTTGCCCTTTTAGTATTAGCATTCGCCACCCTCCTTGCCTCCGCCTCTGATCCCAGTCCTCTTCAGGACTTTTGCGTAGCAATTAATAACACCGATTCTGCTGGTATGTATAATTTTATGTTTCAATTATGTAAATACAATTCATTAATTAAGATTGTTCTTCTGTTGTATAAATTAATTATATGTTATTTTGTGTCAAGTAAAATTTCATTCAGTAAATAAAGAGAGTACGTAGGTAATAGCTAGAAGCCTAACTATATGATTTTGAATGGCTGATGGTTCATCATCCATGCATGTACAACGCGGACGTACATAAAAAGATTAATTAATTTGTTTGGGTGTTCCATTGCGAGCAGTGTTCGTGAACGGGAAGTTCTGCAAGAACCCAAAACTTGCATCAGCAAACGATTTCTTCTCTGACAAGCTCCGGTACCCCGGAAACACATCGAATCCGGTTGGTTCAATTGTCACGGCGGCAAACGTGGATGATATACCCGGACTCAACACTCTCGGCATATCCTTTGCTCGCGTAGACTTTGCACCAAATGGCCTCAACCCTCCTCACACTCACCCTCGAGCCACGGAGATCCTCATAGTCTTGGAAGGTTCACTCTACGTCGGATTTGTCACATCCAATGGCGACGGCAATCGGCTGTTCACCAAAGTGTTGTACAAGGGAGATGTGTTTGTATTCCCAATCGGTCTCATTCACTTCCAACTTAATGTCGGAAAAACCAACGCTTTGGCCATCGCCGGTCTCAGCAGCCAGAACCCAGGAGTGATCACCATTGCGAACGCAGTCTTCGGATCCAACCCTCCCATCAACCCTGATGTTTTGGCCAAGGCATTCCAGGTGGACGATAATGTGGTTGCTTATCTTCAGAAACAGTTTTGGTACAATAACAGTTAATCAAAACGACTCACAAATTATGTGAAGTCTAATATTAAATAAATAAGAAGATCATGGTTTGATTTGCTTATGTAATGATGTACCAATCTTCCTATACAGCCAGTCTCTTTCCGATTCCGAGGGATGTTTTGAGCATAATTTTAATACAACAGTGATGTGTGTTATTTATCCCTAAATCTCTTACTTGGAAGGTTTTTTTTTCGTGGGTCGAGCTCTCACTTGCAGTTTGAACAATCGAAAAGTGAACATAAATAAATATAATATATCATTCGATTCAACAAAATTATCATAACCACCTTCGATAAGAGCAAAAGGGCAACAAAAGAACGAACCTCACCTTATTGCCATAAGAACACCGTATCAACCAAAAGAGAAGAAAAAATGGGTTCCAGCAGCCTATCCGAGCCGAACCCGACCAACAAGAGAAGCAGCCACAAGTCTTATCGAAAACTAAATCAGTAGATCTGCTCGGCCTAGAAAATGTATGCTTTGTCAAACCACATCTGCTATTCTGCTCTTCCTACCAACCACCAAATACAAAAGAGATTTTAAACTTATTGTAACGATATCATGATAAAATCATTCCACACCCCAAAATGATCTGCTCGACTCGTCCAAAACAACAAACAATCTGCTTCTCCAATCCACTTCAAGCAAGCAAATGTGTTCCTCCAAACCACCTCGCCCCAAAATTGATCAGGGCACCTAAATTTCTCTTTGGGTCAGCATACTACCAATACCCACCACCACCACCTTATTAGTATGTCGTCTGAGCCATTCATTTGGGTCTGATCAGAAAATACAAAAAGAAGGACGACGAAGCATGCAGCACTATTAAGAATAAATTGTAGCAAGAACTTTCTTAGTGTTCATTTGTGATTTACTTGGACTGACATGATAAATCTCATATGCATTGGACACTTATTTGGGCCTATACCCGCTTAGATTTGGGCCAAACTTCCGTCTAGCTATATTTTCTACTACTCCGCTCATTTCATGAAGTATTCTACCATGTTTAACGACAACCATATTCGTTGCCCAATTAATGAAACATAAGTAACTCTAACTACAAGAATACTACAAGGGAAATTCTCCTTTACACATTGTTTTTCACGAGCAAGCAGTCATGAGATTTAACCAAATGAGCTTTGCTTTTGTAATGCATTTGCACCATTGCGTGGATTCGAACCCTGTTAGTTTCATAATATTATCTAATCTAACAAATATATCGGTTGACAAAAACACAAAAAAAATAAAAAAAATAAAAAAAATAAAAAAATAAAACTTTCTTTCTACGGTGCAGGTGGAAATTTGACAAGATCAAAATTTGCCAAATGTTTATATATAATTATGTATTGTCAACGAGAGTTCCCTTCCGTTGTCAACATGAATATTAATTAGTGTGTTTGAGAAAACCAATTCCACCGTCCGTAGAGAGAGGATTACGTTGGAATGCTTCAATTGGCTTAGCTACCGATACCTATTTTGATACTTGCATTCCTATTTGGAGGAATGAGCTCATTCTTTTACTTGCAAATAATGTATCATCGTCGTAAAAAGTTTGTAACCAAAACTGTCTAATATCTTAATCTTTACTTGAAGATAACTGTACAAAAAATCATTCATATTCAAAATCATTTAGTTGTCTTGATATACCAAATAAGTTCATAGTGTAGGTACTAAGCAACATATTCATAATATTAAATCATCCAACTATTTAATATATTAGGACAACTAAACAATTCGAATTCGAATGTTTTTTTTTTGTAAAGATGACCTTCAAATGAAGATTAAGATATTGGACAGCTCTGATTATAAAATTTCTACAACGAAGATACATTATTTGCAAGTTGGAAAAAATGCAAATAAGAAAAGTAAGAAAAATGACATTTTTTTCTCTCTCTAGAAGCCCAAATCCACAACCTCATCTCCAGCTTCAAGTTTCAGCTGCCGCCACTTGCTCTTGCTTGCGGTAGGCGACAGCCTGCTACTCCTTCCCTCCTTTGCCTTTTCCATCTTCTTCCTCCTCTCTTACTTCCTATGCCCCATCCCCCTCCCCCTTTTTCCTCTCCCCTTCTCAGGCTCTTTTCGTTTATTCCGGATTCTCCTTGAGTTTATCACAATTTTCCTAAGTCGAGTCTTAACTATCCCCTGAGTTTGTATCAAATATGGGCTTCATGCCCCTTATCTGGCGTCTTTTACCTACTTTTATTGCTTTTTGTCTTTTAATTTTCCTTCCTCCCTCCTTCTTAGCTGTGATACTCCATCCCCATTTCACCAGGCACTCGGATAGACGGGCTCTGATCAGAATTGGATGCCAAATCTACTACCCTCCCTCAATTCCCCTCCCCAAATCGGCATCCTAGGCATGTTGGATCTCTATCGAGGCCAAGTATTGGGTATTTTACATACTCCTTAGCCTCACTCTCTACCACATGATACCTTCTTTGTATATATTTGCAAAGCACAATTTTTTCCTTTTTGATCTCTGCGATTTCTGAGGAAGAAGTCGGGAGACTTCTATTGGACACCCAGGGTCCAAAATGCCATTTCACTGTATAAAACACACAAAAACCTAAATTTACAGAGCAACTCGAGGGCAAAAAAGGCATAACACTGGCGAAGGAACAGTGTTTTAGGCTTTTTTTCTCTTTTAGTATATATATAATTTCCGGCTCTCGAGATTGATTTAATTAGTTACTGAAAACACTACATGCATGCATGTTTTAGTGTAACAAATTTAATTGTCATCAAAATTTCTAACGAACAAAAGAAATGCTATACAAAATTTTCAATTTTAAAATAATATTTAAATTACCCTAAGAGGATGGAGAGTTCGAACCTAAGTGTAACGCAGATTTTATTATTACGATAATGGATCACCTGCAAAAATGTGGTATATATGGTCAGTGGCTTATTGCGAAAGGAATTGGTACAAATTAATATTAAATTTAATCCAAGACCAATTCAATAAGGAGTGACTACAACCAAGTCGCTAGCTGCTTCTAAAAGTATCCAAGTCTTTACCTGCTTCTAAAAATTAATCCAAGTCTTTACCTGCTTCGATTACCCACAGGGAAAATCCAAGACCAGTTCATCATCAGTCTCTCTTGCTAATCTATAAATACAGAAGTGTCCCCATGCATAATTTTCATCCATCTCGAACCAACTCATCATCAGATCATCTAGTTAAATACAAGTTCCACGTCCTTGCTAATCCCCTATAGACTATAGCTAGCGATGAAAGGAGTTCATTTCCCTGTAACTGCTGCTGCCCTGTCAGTATTAGCATTCGCCACCCTCCTTGTCTCTGCCTCTGATCCCGATCCTCTTCAGGACTTTTGCGTAGCAATTAATAACACCGATTCTGCTGGTACGTATACTTATATGTTTTAATTATGTAAAAACAATATCCTTAATTAAGATTCCATTCAGTACAGAGAGTACGTAGGAAATAGCAAGGCCTAAACCCTAACTATATGATTTTCCATGGCTGATGGCTCATCATCCATGCATGTACAACACCTACGTACATAAAAAAAGATTTAATTTTCTTGTGTGTATCATTGCGAGCAGTATTTGTGAACGGGAAGTTCTGCAAGGACCCAAAACTTGCATCAGCAAACGATTTCTTCTCTGACAAGCTCCGGTACCCCGGAAACACATTGAATCCAGTCGGTTCAATTGTTACGGCGGCGAACGTGGATAATATACCCGGACTCAACACTCTCGGCATATCCTTTGCTCGCGTAGACTTTGCACCAAATGGCCTCAATCCTCCTCACACTCACCCTCGTGCCACGGAGATCCTCATAGTCGTGGAAGGCTCACTCTACGTCGGATTTGTCACATCCAATGGCGACGGCAATCGGCTGTTCACCAAAGTGTTGTACAAGGGAGATGTGTTTGTATTCCCAATCGGTCTCATTCACTTCCAACTTAATGCTGGAAAAACCAATGCTTTGGCCATAGCCGGTCTCAGCAGCCAGAACCCAGGAGTGATCACCATTGCGAATGCAGTCTTCGGATCCAACCCTCCCATCAACCCTGATGTTTTGGCCAAGGCATTCCAGGTGGACGATAATGTGGTTGATTATCTTCAGAAACAGTTTTGGTACAATAACAGTTAATCAAATCGACTCACAAATTATATGAAATCTAATATTAAATAAATAAGAAGATCATGGTTTGATTTGCCTATGTAATGATGTACCAATCTTCCTATACAGCCAGTCTCCTTCCGACTCTGAGGGATGTTTTGAGCATAATTTTAATACAACAGTGATATGTGTTATTTATCCCTAAATGTCTTACTTGGAAGGTTTGTTTTTTTTTGTGGGTCGAGCTCTCACTTGCAGTTTGAACAAACGAAAAATGAACATAAATAAATATAATATATCATTCGATTCAACAAAATTATCATGACCACCTTCGATAAGAGCAAAAAGGCAACAAAAGAACGAACCTAACCTTATTGACATAAGAACACCGTATCAACCAAAAGAGAAGAAAAAATTGGTTCCAGCAGCATATCGGAGCCGAACCCGACCACCAAAAGTTGCAGCCACAAGTCTTATCGAAAACTAAATCTGCTGGGTCTAGAAAATTTATGCTCTGTCAAACCACATCTGCTCTTCCTACCAACCATCAAATACAAAAGAGAGTTTAAACTTATTGTAACACAGAGATCATGATAAAATCATTCGACACCTCAAACAAAATGATCTGTTTGATTCGTCCAAAACAACAAACAATCTGCTTCTCCAACCCACTTCAAACAAGCAAATGCGTTCCTCCAAACCACCTCGCTCCAAAATTGATGAGGGCACCTAAATTTCTCTTTGGGTCAGCATTTATACTACCAATTCCCACCATCACCACCTTATTAGTATGTCGTCTGATCCACTCATTTGGGTCTGATCAGAAAATACAAAAAAGAGGACGACGAAGCATGCAGCACTATTAATGTGGCCGGCTACTAACCGTCTCAGCTCAGACCAGAGACACCACCATTGAGACTTGGGGCTCTTATTCTCCAATTTTCCCTTAAAATAATGGACCGGGTCACGCCACTACTCTCCTTGTTCATGCATAGAAGAAGTTTCTCCTAGCTAAGAACAAGTTTTTTCTCTTTAGGTTCAAGTAGAATAGCAGAATAATTCAAATGTGCCTCCTAGCTAATAACAAAGTCTATTAACCAATTACATGAAATTGAAGCGGACCAAGTCATTTACAAATACACTTAAACTTGGATCTTCATACTACCATGTCAACCAAAACGAGGCCATCAATGATGAGGTCGACCTCGATCATTTTTTGAGCTCAAGCTAGGCGAACATTTTAGGTGGTTCAGTTGTAACACATGATGGGATATTTAGTTACCTGTGTAGAGAGGTTAAAATCACACAAAATACTTGCAAGAGAACAAGGTAGTTGTAGTACAAACGGCTTAAGCAATGTCGTTTTTTGCAGGGATTATTTAAAAAATTAATGAAAAACCCTAATCCTAGTTAATTATTTGAAAATAAAGATTGGAAAAGGTTGATTTTGAATTTAAAAGTAATAAAAACGAATTGGCTTTTTAGCCAAAATGGTCCCTGAGATTTGCATAACTCCTCACTTTGGTCCCTGAGATTTCAAATCAATAGAAGTGGTCCTTGAGATTGTCCACCATCCATCATTTTGGTCATTCCATTAAAAACTCCGTTAAGTGTCCCGGAGCTCTTGGCCGGAAGTTTGGGCAATTTTCAAAGCTTTGTAACTCAATTGTTTATTGACCAAATTCGACCCATAATATATCAAAATGAAGATAGAAAAGTGTAGAATAAGATTATACCTATTTGGAAACCTAGGTTTCTAGAGATGGTCGGAAAATAGCCTCAAAGTTGACTGGTCCGAAGGAAAACTGGACAACTCGCCGGAAATTGGGCAAACTTTAAACGTTCATAACTTCTTCAATACTCAATGTAATCAAGTGATTCAAAAATGAAAATCATACTTCTCGACGAGACAAAGAGAATGGTATCTTTTTCAATGGCTAACTCTCCTTGGTTTGGTCGAAAAACGGCTCGAAAGTAGCTGTTTTGGTCTCAAGTTAGCCACTTTCGAGCCGTTTTCTGGCTAAACCACGGCGAGTTAGCCCTTGAAAAAGGTACCATTCTCTTCATCTCGTCTAGAAGTATGATTTTCGTTTTTGAATCACTTAATTTGTTGCGTATTGAAGAAGTTATGAATATTTAAAGTTTGCCTAGTTTTCCGCGAGTTTTCCAGTTTTCCCTCAGACCAGTCAACTTTGAGGCTATTTTCCAACCATCTCCAGCAACCATTGGGCTTCCAAATAGGTATAATCTTATTCTACACTTTTCTATCTTCATTTTGATATATTATGGATTGAAGTTGGTTAAGAAACGATTGAGTTACGCAAATCTCAGGGACTATTTTTGCTAAAAAGCCAAACGAATTTTAATAAAAGTAATTTAGGAAAAACAACTAATAACCAATTAGAAAGGAAACAAAACAAAGAGAAAAAGTTTTGAGAAACAAATTTGGAAAAGCACTAGGGTTCTGCCATCCCCTTACTAATTACATATGAATTATCCATGCAACTTTGAAGGTTAGGTTTTCCTAAAATATATTCTACTTGTGGCATTCAAGCTAGAACGTATATCAAACATGCAATCCGTTTGTGGCATTCAGATTAAATATAAACATGCACGACTCATTATGCTTTGTGAAAACCCCTTGAAAAACCATGCAACCCCTAAGACGTGGCATTCGCCTTAGGTGAAATTACAACTATCAATCACAAAAGGCAATACTCAATTCTTTGGTGGCATTCTGACCGAATTGCATCCACTTACTTATCTAAACATCCTAATGGTCGCGAATTTTAAGACACAAAGACAGTTTAAAGCACAGTGATTAATAATTCAAAGCATGCATGAATAATATCATATGCAATTAAATAAAAACTACATATTTATGCTAAGACTCAAGGCATCGCCTTAGCGAAAGAAAAATAATTACGCATATTCATAATTAAAATCAAAAGAGTTTTATTAAACAAAAAAAAAGAATGAAAACACCTTGAAAGTATAAGTCTTGAAATCTCTAAGCTTTGCCCAAAGTCTTCTCCCAAAAATTGCATACGTATGAGAGAAACCCTAGGTGTGCCCAAAGGCTTACTTATACTACTCTAATTAAAATCCTCCTAGTATAAGGTCTTAGAATAAGACTAGGAAACCTAATAAATTGAAATAAAATAGGAAACATAATCCTAAATTGACTTGGTAAATTCGTCCAAAATTCTGCACAGCCACGTTTTGGACCCAAATGAGCTCCAAAACTACCCCAAAATAGCTAGATTTAAAGCTTGGACTATTCTGAACACTTCTCCAGAAGGCCACGAACCTATCCAAGATCTTGGGCTCCAAAAACGCAATTTAAGCCCAGAAACGTCACTTTCCATAAACGTGCACTGCTTCTTTAATAAATCGTCAGAAAATAACCGCTTGGTATAAAAATCCCAAATTTTGACACGAACAAACCTAGAGACACACGAATGTCTTCCAATTTGCATCACTCCAAAATTCGTCCGTTTGATTACATTTTGCTCCAGAGGAAGTCGAATGTCCTATATTGAAAGGGAATTGTTATTGGCACTTCAAAAATCTCATTCTACACTCCAAACTTTCTATATTTGGAAAGAAAAATACACTTGTGAGGAGTGTAGAATGAGATTTTTGGAGTGCCAATAACACTTCCCTATTGAGAATATAAAGCAAAGTATTAAAATTCTACCAAAATAATTACCAAATTATACTAAGAATAGGGCAAAATATATAATATAATATTGACTCATCAAAATACCCCCAAACTTAGCTTTTTGCTTATCCTCAAGGAAAACAAAAATAAAAGCTAACAAACTATAAACTTAACTAAAACTAAATGACAAAAAATTTCACCTTCAAAGTTGCAATCCATAAAATACGTTAAAAAACTATTCATCTTTTCAAAAGTTCCAGCTCATCCCACTACAGAGTCTAAGCCATTTATAATCAATTAGAAAAGAATTCACAAACTTCCTTTGGTGTAAAGTGAAACAACATAGCTAAGGAGACTCGACTAAAGACCCTTACTCCTCGTACTTTTATTTCACACATACTACATTTAAATAAGACTTTTTTTTTTTTTTTTCGATTTTTTTTTTCGTTTTTCAATAACAGTAGGGGTTGTGCAATGTCAGTTTAAATCTCATTGTATGGCTCTCTGTGTGTAGGCAGCTCGGATGAAGTTGATAACCGAGAGAAATGAACACTCAAGTTGCAGATCTAGCGAGTCACAAGGGAAAAGTTAATAGTCAAGCTCCTGTAACTGCAACAGGTATAAAACTCATCCATCGATTCTTATTTTACTCAGCATGTATGTACACATTTTTCTTGTGATATGCTGTGATAGTACCCAAAACGGATAACGAAGACCGGGTAAATGCCAAAAAAAATAAATAAAACTTGGATTTGGGATGTTGATGAAGAAGATGGACCTTGAACATGACTTGTCCCAATAATAAAAGTTAATGATAACCTGGATCACCCTTGAACATATGTATGGGCCATTTGGACTTGAACCGTATTGAGGATAGAGAAAGAACTACCCCCAAACTTAAATAATGGCATCCTTGAATGTAAAAGAGATAGATCCCAAAAAAATGGTTGATATATGAACCATTTCCACTGTAACTCATACGCCTAATTGTTCTGTTGCAGCAAAATACCCCAGATCGTCAAGGGCAGCTTGATGGACAAAACAATTGGCCACTTAGCAAAATAAAGAGTTATACATTCTATCCCCCAAATTTGGATCAAAGATTGGGTTACAAAAATGTAGATCTGCTACTATGATGGAGTTCAGTGCTGCGATATGTGGATCTGTGAGTTCTCATTATTCTACATCCACATATCATAGAACTGAATCCCAGAAAACAAATGGTCAGATGTACACTTTTGTGGCTGGATCCATGATTCTGCAAAAGCTATGTAATTTCGGCATTATGTTTTAGCATAATGTAGGAATGTGGTTGATGGTAATGTAGACTTGTTGCTGGGTGCATGATTCCAACCTAAAATAATCTCTTTGTGCATAAATTCTTGTTTGCTTTGTTTGTTGTATGCAAAAACCCACGTTATGAAATCAGAGATAGAATGTAGAAAATACTAACTGTAAACTAAAAATTAAACAAGTAAAAACTTTTTTTTTTTTTTTTTTTGTGTATTTGTATTTGTATATATATATATTTTTT